TAACCATGGAAAGGTGGAGGGAAGTCAAAGGGTTCAGGGAATCGTTGATGTTGATGTTTAATGTTTGAATTAAAATTTGCAATGTAAAATTCAATGAAAATAATAAAAAATAAATAAAAAGCAGAGCAGGGGGAGAGGAAAATATTTCTCGAGTTCATGAAGTCTTCCATGTCTGCCTCCGATATGTTTTACAATGGATTATGGGAAGAGCTAGCAGACATTCAAACAAGGCACTTTCAGTGCTTGCAAATTCCATAAAAATGTGATAAGGCAACCGGGGTGAAGATCACAGATGTGATGTTATTTATGCATTGACTACTTTTCTAAAAGCCTTAGGCACTTAAAAACAAAGTCCTTCTATTCTAAGTTTACAGTTGCAGTTCACACAGGGATTGCCAACTTTTCAACCAGCTACCATAGATTTCTCTTTAATGACAGCTTCATGATGAAGCAGTGGCAACTGTTAGGGATGGATGACTGTCAATTTTGATTTCTCTATGTTTCTCATATTTTTTAAAAATCTTAACTTCAGTTCTCCACATTTCTGCAGCAAGTTAAAAAAAAATCCTCACGAACATTTTCCTGCATTTTAGTGCAAATTCTTTTAACATACAGATGGTAGCGGTGTTTTGCACATTGCTTTGAGAAGTGTGTGTTAAGGAGCTTCTCGTGCCAAACAAAAGTGAATTTCTCCTCCATCCCTAGGAAGTGGTCATGCTGTATTTTGAAAGTTTCAAGAGTATGGCAGACCAAGCCTCTGGGCGTTGCCTCCGTCAGTACCAGGAGAGGCATGAAGAGAGCAGAGGAGAAGTGAGCTTCACACAGGCACAGTCTCAGATTGCTTGAGAAAAGCTCTGGAGAGGAGGGGACTTAGGCAGCTGTGGGGAGGCGGGAACCTTCAGTCTCAGCACCTGCTTCATGGGGGGGGGCAAGACCTGCTGGAGATGAGTTGCTGTGCTCATTAGGACTGACACTTCTATGCAAATCTTATTTTTGCTTTTTTTAAAGAAAGAGTTAACTTCAACTTGCTCAGTGTGATTTATTGCTGGCTCACTCCTGTCAGATGCCTTCTGGAGGCCCCACCCCTGGATCACTTGTATTCCTCCACCCACGGCCACCCCAGCTTCTTCATTCCTGCCACAAGTAATGGATAGAAGACTAAGCCCCTTTTTACATTTATTTTTTGGGGGGGGGAATAAAAGAACTAATTCTCTCCTTGCCGCAGGTGGTTTGTAGGAAGGAAGGAAATAATTCCTGCTGCTTTCTTCAAGGCTGTAAGGCTCCAGAACACCCAAGAGCCTGTATAAAAACTTTTGGGGGGGGGGATAGCAGGGAACTCCTTCTTCTTCTTCTTCTTCTTCTTTCTCCTCACAACATACCAGTTATTATTCCCCCTTAGCAGGTGGCATGGCAGTGCAGCTGTGGCTGCTATGTCTTGCATTTTCAAACAGAATAGGTAAATGGCAGAGCTTGAGATAGTTCTGTCGGCCATCTTCATTTCTCAGAATCTCATGTGGGACAGAGTCACATCACTTGGGGAAGCAAAGATGGCCAGAGTGACTGCAAGTTTCTTCCTCAATGTGCCCACTTTGTTAACACACACACACACACACACACACGGGAAGACCCTGCAGCTGACTGCCATTGATGGAGTGAGGACATTCAGGGAGGCCTGCAACTGTACCCCATCATCCAGTCATAGCAGCACCACATTGTCACATAATTACTGCAGTCCTGTATTCCCTTGCTGCTTCCAGCCTCTCATTCCAAACTGTGGCTGTGATTCTACATCACACATTTAACTGGGAGTAAGACCCATTTACGGTAACCCAAATGATCTAGGATTTTGCTGCAAGGGAGGTAGTGCCAATTAACAGATGTTAAATAAAACAATTGTTTGAATGCAGGAGTTTAAATGACTAATACTTTATATCTGAGATGCAAATAATCATTCCATTCTAGAAAATTATATTCATTCATTCATTCCAAAATGGATCAAAAAATACATCCAGAAACAATCAGATTTACATAGAAAAAGGGGAGATTAACTGAATGCCTATTAGCCGAGAGATCAAAAGCACACCTCAAATGGATTAGTATGTGTCATATTCTCTCAAAATGTTCTCCCTTCTAAATTGTTATGATGTGGTACAAACTTTTTTGTTCCAAACAGGTCATTTTAGCACACAATCTTCTTGGTAACCACATATTTCAGCACCTGGTATGCCTTAAACTAGCAATTGTGGAGGTATCACAAAAGAGACAAAATATCCATTTTGTACCAAAAGGAATTGTGTTTTTTTAAAAAAAGCAAACTGTCTCTAGGGCAGCAAGGATGGCAAAATGGCAGGAAAACTACAGAACTGTCAACACCTCTATTGAATACTGTCAGAAAATACCAGGATTTCCAAGACTACCTGTAGCTTTTTTTAATGGACAGTCCTGAAACTATGGTTTTCTTTTATGGTAATCACTGACATTTTTGCCCACTATAGTTTCTAGAAGTCGAGAGCAGATTGCATCCTGAAAAGCAATAATCAGCCTAATGAAACCCACAATTAATGAGAGCTACTGAGCCTTAGAAAATGTATACAGTGGTACCTTGGTTCTCAAACTTAATCCGTTCTGGAAGTCCATTCCAAAACCAAGGCGTGCTTTCCCATAGAAAGTAATGCAAAACGGATTAATCTGTTCCAGACTTTTAAAAACAACCCTTAAAACAGCAATTTAACATGAATTGTACTATCTAATGAGACCATTGATCCATGAAATGAATGCAATAATCAATGTACTGTACTATAAAATGAATAAAACAGTATTGTAGATGATAAAAATTAAAATTATTATTTTTTTCTTACCTGCACTGATGATAGTCATTGTTTGGATGGGGGGCTTTTATCCATTTCCGCAGTCACACAATCAATCAATCAGTAGCTGAACTGGGTTACATACAGTCACAAAAAGAAATTAACCAAAAAAGCCTCAAAAACAAAAAACGCAAAATATATGGCAAAAACAAAAGCACCAAATATAAGCTCCAAATACCACCTCAGAACACTGCAATTGGTAACGGAAGACTTCAATTACAATGGGGGGATGCAAATTAGCAGCGCAACAGTGAAAACGGAAGCTCAAGAACACATCCAGCTTTCAAAGCAAAGTTTGCAAACAGGAACACTGACTTCTGGGTTTGCAGCATTCAAGTTCCAAGTTGTTTGCGAACTAAGCTGTTCGAAAACCGAGGTACCACTGTACATACATTATCTAAAGATCTTTTGAAAGTGTACATTCTTTTCAGTTTCTAAGTTCAGTATCTAAGCGCAGTGTTCAGTTCACTCAAAGTCTAGTTGCTTTCTTTGAACTTAGCAGCGGGTGCTTGCGTCAATCATTAAAGCAACTTTATAATATATATCATTTATGTATGATACATTATGCATCTCACAAAGAAACATCACTGAAAAATGCAATTCAGTGGAAACGAGTGTAAAGTGATACATATTAGGATAAAAAAACCTTGATTTCACATATAAGCTCATGGCATGTGAACTGGCAGGGATGAACCAGGAATGAGAACTTGGGGTCATAGTGGATGTCAGAAGCCAGAGTCAGGAGTAGGTCAACAATTAAAAAAACCAACTGATGTCAGTGAAATTAACTCTTTATTCAAGAAACCAAAACAAGGCAGGCCTGGTGATCACAGCAACTCTTCCCAGTAGGTCTTGCCCCAATGTGTCAGTTGCAAGAACTGAAGGTCGCTGCCTTCCCACAACTCTCTAAGGCCCCTCCCCTGGTTCCTTCCCCAGAAGCCTAAGGCTCCATTGTCTTGTCTCTCATTGCTCCACCCTCTTAATTTCTCTGTCTGTACTGGGAGACCAGGAGGTTGGGAGCTCTCCACAACAGAAGGGAGAGACTCCCTGGGTTTAATAATAATAATAATAATAATAATAATAATATATTATTTATACCCCACCCATCTGGCTGGGTTTCCACAGCCACTCTGGTCAGCTTCCAATAAAATATTAAAATACAATAGTCTGTTAAATATTAAAAGCTTCCCTGAACAGGTCTGCCTTCAGATGTCTTCTAAAAGTCTGGTAGTTGTTTTTCTCTTTGACATCTGATGGGAGGGCGTTCCCCAGGGTGGGTGCCAGTACCGAGAAGGCCCTCTGCCTGGTTCCCTGTAACTTGGCTTCTCACAGCGAGGGAACCGCCAGAAGTCCCTCAGAGCTGGACCTCAGTGTCCGGGCAGAATGATGGGGGTGGAGATGCTCCTTCAGATATACTGGACCAAGGCCGTTTAGGGCTTTAAAGGTCAGCACCAACACTTTGAATTGTGTTTGGAAGCGTACTGGGAGCCAATGCAGATCTCTCAGGACCCGGTATTATATGGTCTCGGTGGCCACTCCCAGTCACCAGTCTAGCTGCAGCATTCTGGATTAATTGCAGTTTCCGGGTCACCTTCAAAGGTAGCCCCACATATAGCACATTGCAGTAGTCCAAGCGAGGGATAACTAGAGCATGCACCCCACAAATGCCTCATTTCTGTCTCCTGACCCCCCTCCCCCCTTGCCTCTGAGTGTGGACTGCTCTCTACCACAGCCTCTTCCTGCCCACTAAACCCTGTTACCTCTTCAGCTTCCAACATCTCCTCCTCCCAGTCTGCTCCCTCTTCTGAATGCAGTTGCCCCACCACCAATCCCCTGGCTCTGAGTCTCCTTCCCTTCATAGTTCCCGTGGGGGATCCCTAGACGGTGCCTCCCACTATTCCTCTGTATCCAGCCATTCAATGATAGACAATAGCAATGCATCTGAGATTACTCTGTACCTTTCAGTTGCAATGAAAGCTTAGAGACTGGTGTGCCCTTTGGATGATGCCATTCATTTGTCCATATATGGGCAGAGAAGGGGGCGGGTCAATTTTGCACAGGGCCTTCTTCTCCAATGAGCTGAATGTGGTCTATGCATCCATCATAGTGGTTGCCCCCCCCCCCCCCGCCGCTGCCCAAGGTACACTAGCTCAGTCAGTAGAGCAAGAGACTCTTAATCTCTGAGTTATGGGTTCAAGCCCATGTTGGGCAAAAAGATTATTACATTGCAAGGGGTTGGACTAGATGACCCTTGTGGTGAATTCTATGGTTCATCCCTTTTCACAGCACACTGTTTGGCAATCACTCCTCACATTTGTAAGGTTTCTGTGCCTTGGTATCTCCACAATTGGGTCAGAGAGTTGGAGTTCTAACTAACTAACAGCATACTCTAGCTATGTCTACTCAGAAGTAAGTCCTAATGAATTCAGTGGGGCTTAAAGGTAAAGGTAAAGGGACCCCTGACCATTAGGTTCAGTTGTGGCCGACTCTGGGGTTGTGGCGCTCATCTCGCTTTATTGGCCGAGGGAGCCAGTGTACAGCTTCTGGGTCATGTGGCCAGCATGACTAAGCCGCTTCTGGCAAACCAGAGCAGCGCACGGAAACGCCGTTTACCTTCCCACCAGAGTGGTACCTATTTATCTACTTGCACTTTGATGTGCTTTTGAACTGCTAGGTTGGCAGGAGCAGGGACCGAGCAACGGGAGCTCACCCCGTCGCAGGGATTCGAACCGCCAACCTTCTGATCAGCAAGTCCTAGGCTCTGTGGTTTAACCCACAGCGCCACCTGCGTCCCTCAGTGGGGCTTACTCTCAGGTATAAGGGTTTAGAACTGCTGCCTAAGTCATACAAAGAACAGAACCGCTGAAATCAGCTTAAGGCAATAGCTTTCAATGTGTCTGATCTATGGCTCAGTCAGATGCAATCCTGATTTATTGTTTTAGTTGACATATTAAACTTTTGCATGACAGCGAGAAAGATTTTGAACTCTACAACGGTCTGTGCCTCTGACATTGTAAAGCTGTGAACGAATATGAATGAAAATTTGAAAGCATTCCAAATAAGTTGGCTAGCCCAGAAAAGGTCAAGGAAAGGCTCTCAGTTCCACCAAAGCATTTTATTACAGCCTATTGTGCATGTTATGCAGATGAGAGCAATGGAATGAAATAAAATGAAATCTCACGATCAGATATGTTTGGTTCCCTCCAATTATTTTCTTAGTCTCTCCATGGCAATATTATCTCTTGTGTCAAGCTAAAAAGAGAAAAAAATAAATGGGTACTCAGATGCTAAGGCTAGTGATTCTTAAAAAAATAAAATAAAATCTTGTCTGTCAGCATCTACAGCATGAATACAAATGTAGCCTATTTACTGACACATCAGATAAACTAATCCCATCTCACAGGGGGGGAAATGAGATTGGGAAATTGGAAAGATCAAAGATAGGGGGGTATAATAGGGTGCACAATTTCAGGCAGCATTGTATTCCTTTTGTGAAACCTACCAACATGGTGTAATATTGTTGCATGCATCATGAAATTAGGCTCCCATGCTGTGGTTAGAACTAAGCAGCAATGACATGAACAGCATAATGAAAAGGTTCATATGTTGCTCAGGGAAATCGAAGGAAGCTGGCAACCCCAAGGTATATCTTACCTATGCCTGGGATGGGGAACTTGTGACCTTCCAGATGTTGGACTGCAACTTCCATCATCCCTGATCATTCATCATGCTGGCTAGGGTTGGTGGGGGCAGGAGTCTGACAACACGTGGAGGGGTCATAGGTTCCCCATCTATGACTTATGGTCTTAAGAATGGTTTCCTTCCAAGAATGGCTGAAGAGCCGATCCTTTGAGAAGCACAGTTGTAATGGGAGTAGGCACTGGCTCTTATATTACACAAAAGGTCCTCTGGGGACCTTCATCACCGTTCCTTCCAGCATTACTCTGGCAGTGCTTGAGCAGGAAAGGATATTTTTAAAAAAATCAAAAACTTTATTGCAGTCCAAAGACCCACAAAACAATTTCAAAACTAGATACAGTTAAAATGACCAGACAGACAGATGGAAGAAGCCAAGGTAGTCATTTTGTTTTATCTAGGGCATAATGATCTTTGTGTCTTATAACCTCCGAAAGAAACTTTGCCACGGCCAGTGTAATATAATTTGACCCGTCTTCCAAAATATATTTAATATGGGAGGCTCACTTGTTTGCTCATATTGCCCACAATGCAGTAGGATATGCTTTGTACAATCGACGTCCTGGGAACATAAACAAAGCCTATTCTGATAAGGGATATTATTATTATTATTATTATTATTATTTATTATTTGTACCCCACCCATCTGGCTGGGTCTCCCCAGCCACACTGGGCAGCTTCCAACAAGGATTAAAAATACTTTAAAATGTCACACATTAAAAACTTCCCTAAACAGGGCTACCGTCAGATGTCTTCTAAATGTCAGGTAGTTGTTTATCTCTTTGACATCTGATGGGAGGGTGTTCCACAGGGTGGGCACCACTACCAAGAAGGCCCTCTGCCTGGTTCCCTGTAGCTTTGCTTCTCGCAGTGAGGGAACTGCCAGTAGGTCCTCGGAGCTGGACCTCAGTGTCTGGGCAGAATGATGGGGGTGGAGACGCTCCTTCAGGTATACTGGGCCGAGGCTGTTTAAGACTTTAAAGGTCAGCACCAACACTTTGAATTGTGCTCGGAAACGTACTGGGAGCCAATGTAGGTGGCTGCTCCCAGTCACCAGTCTAGATGCCACATTCTGGATTAATTGTAGTTTCTGGGTCATCTTCAAAGGTAGCCCCACGTAGAACACATTGCAGTAGTCCAAGAGGGAGCATGCACCACTCTGGCGAGACAGTCCATGGGCAGATAGGGTCTCAGCCTCCGTACCAGATGGAGATGGTAGACAGCTGCCCTGGATACAGAACGCCTCTCAGGATATCTCTCAGGATGCCTCTCAGGATATCATACCAGACTTTCAAAGCACACTTAGGAGTCATGGCTTTCCCCCTAATAATCCCTGCAACTGTAGTTTGTGAAGTGTGCCAGTCAGTTGTAGCTCTGTGAGGGCTACTGAAACTCCCAGGATTTGAGGAGGGTGGGGGGAGCCGCAGCTGTTAATGTGATGTCAATGTGCTTTAAATGTTATGTTGTGGATGTTGACCCTTGGAATACACAATATGAGAGCCAAGCACATCAGCATCTCTTCCCTTGAGAATTTCCCCATTCTATTGTTACTGGAGCAGTGTGTGGTGGAGACAGAGAGAATCACAACCACGCTTCTCCTCCAAACTAGTGATAAGAAGCAACTGAGCTATGACTGATAGTTCATGCAAGATCACGATACCATCAGCTAGAAATAGTGCGTTCAATAATGAATGCACTTGGAGACTATTGTACTCTTTGCCCATTAAATTTAGGCACCGCCTGTAATTTTCTTGATTAGCCAGTCTTTTATTGTTTTGTATTGCTTTTAAATGTCTTTTTTTTTTTCTTGCTGTGCACTGGCCTGATATTTTGCAAGGCGGCAAATCATAAATACTTCTATAAATAAATACAAATAATGAGGCTTCCATGCTGTGGGGTGCCTAATCATGCATTTTAGACACCATCTTAAAACTCAATTGTCCCAACGAACCTTTTCTTGAAGGTGACCCATATTATAGTACCATGAAAATATGTGAACATGCTGCATTTTATTATAATTTCTGTCTTCATTTTTAATTTTTTTTATACAGTGCACAAGTGTATATATGCAGATGATTATACGGTATGGAAAATTGCTGAATAAAATAAATGAATAAGTCTGGAATGTAGATCTCTCAAATTGCCTTGCATATCAATTCCCCTTTTAGATTAGCCCAATGTGATTCAGATTATAGTGAATCTTGTGTATGAAGGCTGCAATGTACCAGAGATGACTGGAGGCAAAGGGAAGTTTAATAAATCCAGTTTAAAAGCTTTAGCTTTGGGAAAACTTGATCAGAAGTGGATTTGTATTACGATCACATTTGCCCAAAGCCAGGTAACATTTTTACTAAAGCCCTTCTTCCTTAAGATATTTCTGCAGACTTGAAAAATGTTCCAAAACTCACTCAGCACAGTTAACCCAATGTAGCTTGTCACGCTGGCCACGTGACCCAGAAGTGTCTGCGGACAGCGCTGGCTCCCGGCCTATAGAGTGAGATGAGTGCACAACCCTAGAGTCTGTCAAGACTGGCCCGTACGGGCAGGGGTACCTTTACCCTTTAATTCAGTAGAAACAGTACTTGTGAAACTCTTCAGATGACTTTTACTATATTCTTGTTCATATGTATACTCTATGTACTATATGACCAGGTGTGGTTTTTTTTCCATTTAAGTTTACAGTTATTAATATGAAACAACTTGCTCTATTTTGTAAACAAACAAAAAGACAGCAAAGGTAGGAATTTGGGAGCTAGTTTTTAATTTTTCTTGTAGAGTAGAAAGTAACAAGTAAATGAAAAGAAGCAAAGTTCCATCCATTCTCTATATAGAATATTAGACTCATAATTTGTGTGCATGGTGGCGCTGTGGGTTAAACCACAGAGCCTAGGACTTGCCGATCAGAAGGTCGATGGTTCGAATCCCTGTGATGGGGTGAGCTCCTGTTGCTCGGTCCCTGCTCCTGCCAACCTAGCAGTTCAAAAGCACGTCAAAGTGCAAGTAGATAAATAGGTACCGCTCCGGCGGGAAGGTAAACGGCGTTTCCGTGCACTGCTCTGGTTTGCCAGATGCTCTGGTTTGCTGGCCACATGACCCGGAAGCTGTATGCTGGCTCCCTCGGCCAATAAAGCTAGATGAGCGCTGCAACCCCAGAGTCGGTCGCGACTGGACCTAATGGTCAGGGGTCCCTTTACCTTTACTATAAATATACAGGTATGATAAAATTCTTTTTAAAAACAGAAACAACCTATGAGTTTGTCCCAACTTCAGTCTCCATCCTCTTAAAAAGAACACCTCATAGGACTAAAGAGGACTATTTGAGGCATTCATGGTCTCATCTAGCCCACCTACTAAACTACCACCACATCCAAGGTTCCCTCCCAGCTGCCAACAAAGTGAGGTTGCAATTGGGAATCTTCTGAGTCTGAAGAGAAAACTTTGTAGAAACATTCTTCAGCCATGGAAGTGAAGGTTCTTTCCAGCCTGGTAATACTATTTTTTTTTTTTCTGGTTAG